TGGACTTTTCAGGAACATTTTTGTGGCACCATTCTTGAGACCATTATTTTCGATTCGTTGCTCACCAATTTGAGACGAATGACTTGTTGAATTGTCAATATCTTCACCGAGAAGTTTAGCGAGTTGTTCGAGTGTTACGTTACTTTTCATTAACTTGCGCAGAACCACGGCCACTTCAGTGAGCTCTTTATCATCGATTTGTAAGGTGGTGCTTTCATTTGCGTTTCTTTCTAAAGTGGTCGTGTGGGTCTCACGCATGGTTGGCTGCGGTATTGAACTGATTCGCAAGCGATTTTCCTTATGATCCGAGCCAAACGGCATTTCAACAATATCTGTCCTTACCACGGAATGCCCTCGGACTGAAGTGGGGTTCTTTTGTATGTGATCTGCAAGGCGATGCTTCGGAACTTTTCCATCGGACCACGAAAACTCCACATTTTGACTGCTTTGTACGGCAGTTTTACTATTCTCTTCTTTTGCGATTGACGATGCCAGAGCAATCTGTTCATGTTCTTTGAGTGCATTATGGTCATGATCAGCACTGGAATTCATCGATATCAAATTCTCTCCCTCTTCTCTAATCATGAATTCGGTTTTGGACCGCTCCATTACTTCCGTTGTATCGTCAGCTTTAGCGTGATCGATTTCTGACGTCTCGACAATCGTGTTTTCACTTTTTGATTCTGTTGTGGTAGCTTTTTGTTCAAGCTCTGATGTCTCTCCTGTTCTACTTTTCTCATCCGGTGTAAGAGAGTCTGCGTTTGCTTGTTCTTCACTACTGATATCGTTGGGAACAGTGGTGGATGAGCTGGCCTCTGTAGGTACCATTGTCCATAGACCTGAATAAGTACGAAAAATAAAGTTTTAAGAAAATGCTAAATCAATAACGTAACGAGACCGGAAAGCAATACCTCAACACTGAAAAATTGTACATCATCACTCAAGAATACCGCATTTGCTGTTCACTTATCTATATAATTCCTCAAACTTAATCAAGAAAACAACAATGAATAGACACACTCACCTTGGTCATCCACATAAGCCTCTCCGGGAGCCAATGATGAGGTAACTACCTGATCCGTAGTGGTAGCCATTGTGGTTGTCAAGAGTGGTTTTTGTTTCTTCGTATGTTTACGATTTTTCATGTGTTTTTTCGCTGATTTCTTTCCCAAATTTATCGGTCTATCGGC